CATAGATTGATTAAAAAATCTCCTTTTCAGGTTCTGGAATTCTTCAATAAGCACGCTGAGGTTCGTTGTGTGCGTATGGCAGGGGCAGATTTCGATAGAGCAGCGTATGTTGAATTTACGGACCAGTCGTCAGTAGTTAAGGCATTCAGCTTGATGGGTGCCACACTTCATGGGCGACAGGTAACCCTTGTTATTTTGTTATTTTTGCACTAGATCATGGTTCAACACTCAAACTCTGCCATAGTCAAACCTGCAAATAATCTAATCAATGTGGATGAGATAGTGAAGCGTACGGGTTCTGATTCTGGTATCGGACCCGGTGAGTTTTAATGAAATTTTATCATTTCATGAAATTAGAGTTAATTAATTTGTCTGCGGTTCCAGGTAGTCGCCACAGCCGCAGTAGGTCACGTTCTCGGAGTCCTCGTTCCAGATCAGAAAGGAGAGACCGAGGAAAATCCCGGGATCGGCGTCGTTCACGCTCGAGACGTCGAAAGTCGCGCTCTCGAACTCGTTCTAGATCAAAATCCCGCACAAGAAAGCGACATTCTCGTTCCCGTAGTCATCGAAGGGATAGGGAAAGGGTTCGCTCCAGGTATGCTTATCTTTCTTTGTTTTAATCCCCATCCTGGTTTCAGATCTCGTGGGCACAAACGGTCTCGTCGTTCCCGCTCCAAATCGGCCAGAAGAAAATCAAGATCTCGTTCAAAAGCTAATCACCGAAGTGATAGACGGGATAAAGAAAAAGAACGAGCTGTCGAAAGACCTATTAAAGATAAAGACAGAGATAGAGGCAAAGATCGGGACAAAGAGCGTGATAAGCGTGACCAGGACAAAGACAGGGAAAAAGATAAGGGAAAGAGAGAGAAAGACCGTGATCGTGATCGTGATCGTGACAAGGAACGTGACCGAGGGAGGGAGAAAGATGATAAAAAAAATAAATCCAGTTCACGTCAGCGATCAGATAAAGAATCTAGCAGCAGAAAGTCAGCCTCCTCAACCGATAAGAGTAAAGCAAAGAATGACGAACCTTCAACTGAGATACAAAGACCTAAAAAAGAGGATAAAGACAAAATCAAGGTTGTTGTTGTTGTTTCAAATCAGGCTATCGACCAAGATTATCATTCTGTCACCAAAATCGACGATCAAAATAGTCCTACTAGTGAGAGCGAGACCAACTCCTGTAATGCAGATGGAGAAATCTCCTTTGATGCAGATATTTCTCACCTTCAAATCCTCAAAGATGAAGATAAAATTGAACCTGATGGTCATTCCAACCACTCTGGTTCTAATGGAGAGTCCAAACGCTTGGTAGTTGGTGTCAAGCTTGCTGGTCCGGAGGATATGGATATAGTCTCCCCCAAACGTCCCCAAAATGATGTTTCCAGTGATACTCTTAACGGCACTGAACATTTCCAGGGCAGCTCTTCTTCCGAAGAAATAGAAAATTAGTTTTTTCATGTTTCATATCCACTCTTTTATTGATCTTCT